CCCCAAAACCCCAAAACCCCAATAAATGAAATCTAGACAAAAAAGATGTGTAATCAAATTTATAAGGTATTTTTTAATGAAGCAGGCAAATCCTAAAACTTTATTATTAAATATATTAAGGTCAAAATTTACCAAATCCTCTTAGAATGATGCAGCAAAACTACAATGATTTATTAATTTGCCTGGGTTGTAATAAACAATACAATCTAGAAGATAGATTGCCTTTGAGACTACCATGTGAAGATGAGATCTGCAGTTAATGCTATAAAAATCAGGTAGACTAAGTTCAAAATCAACAAATTCAATGTCCATCCGATAGCACGCATCTCTTTGGAATCGATGAGCCAGCTAAAGAATCAAAGCTCATGATAAGAATGCTTCAAAAACTGGTTTACGACCAGATCAATTGTAAAGAGCATTAAGAAAATCAGGTGCAGTTCTACTGTTAGAATCAAAACACGATTATTTGCGCACTCTGCTTTGCCATTGAATCTCATTAGAAATGCTATCAGGAAACTATTGCACATTTTGCTTTTGAAAGAAAATTTTTAGTTGAGGCATTTGAGAAAATAACCCCAACACTATAAGAATAGATTAACTAAATTAAGATTTTACTAGAAAGTATCCAAACCTTCATCAATAAGAAAAGAAACTTTAATGCTGATGAAATTGAACAAATGATTATAAAGATATGTTCAATACTTCAACTTTCTGCTTTTGATGACTAGATTAAGAAAAATCTGAAACTAAGGTCTAACATAGTGAACTTTATAACTAATTTCTCGTAATTTATTAATTTTAATTTCAATTATTTTAGAGAGTCTTTTAGAAACATAAGAACAACTGACAATGAGGAGCAGAAATAAGATCTTGTTCTAACATAAGAAGAAATTACAATAAAAGAACTTGGTAAATAAGTCACGGATCTGCAAAATTAATTGAGGGAAGTATCAGATCAATTAGAAACTTAATCTAAATTACATAAAGAGGATATAAAGTCATTAAGAAAAGAAAATAAAGATAAATTGGATTCTTAATATAATTAACATTAAGCTGAGATAATAACTTAATTTTAAGAATGCTAGGCCAAATTAGAATCTCAGTCTAAGGATTTCTAAATAAAGTTAGAAAACTCATAAAAGGATAATTAAGCTGAATTAGATAAGCTATCAAAAGATAATTAAAATAAATAGGAAGTATTATCAAGGGAATATTAAGTCAAGTTTGACGAGTAATCTAAAGAGACATTAAAATTTAAAACCTATGCAAAAGAGTTGGAAGAAAAAATGGAATAATTAAAAAATGAAATCGCGAAGTAATAAAATCTTTCTGCACTTGGAAGCTTAGTTGACAATATATTAGATAGAAATTTTCAGCCAAAACTATTTTAAATACCTGGTACTCCAAAATTACTCTATAGAGGAACTAGAGATGGATTTTAAGCATTTGATTTTCACAAACACTGTGATAATCAAGGACCTACCATATCCTTTATAAAAAGTGAGCATGGTTAAATATTCGGAGGCTATACTTCTCTCTCTTGGACTTCTGCTAATGGTTAATATTATAAAGATAATAATGCATTTTTGTTTAATTTGAATAAGAACACTCTGCATAAATAATATCAAAACTTTGATAATGCAGTTAGACATTAAATAGATTATTAAATGACATTTGGTGGTGGCTTTGATATTAATATTTCAAATAATTGCAATAATAATAATTCTAGTTATTGTCGGTTAGGATACACATATATGCCTCCATAAGGTTTTAAGTATGATGATTAATATGCTAAAGATTATTTAGCTGGAAGTTATAAATTCAAAGTAATAGAAATAGAAGTTTATTCAGTTTTAGAATGATATAGAATATGACAATTTATTAAAGAGCACTCTTTACCTATAAGCTGTTGATAATGATAATTTAATTTTATAATCAAATAAGCTATGTTTATTTTAATTTGTCAACTAATTTTAATTCGATTATTTTACTTAATGGGGTTTTGGGGTTTTGGGGAGATCGGAAGAGCACACGT